TTTCTTTCTTTCTTTCTTTCTTTCTTTCTTTCTTTCTTTCTTTCTTTTTTTTTTTTTAACTTATTACAAGACCAATATTGTAACTGTGAGGGGATCTCAAGCAATCTCCACCCCTGAATGTATTAAGACACACCTAGAGCACCCTCGGGAGAGTTCCTGGAAATCAGCCTGACCACAAGGTCCCGAACCAAAGATGTCATGGTGACTTGGATGGCTTCACTCCAGCACCCCTCCAGCAAGAACATACTCTTGGACTCTCAAGTTCACAGTGGAGACATGGCCCTTCCCCACATTCCCCAGCAGGCCTGAGGCCGGGCTCTGATTTCTCTAGGACACTGTCATGCTTGGTGCTCCACTGCGGTTGCCCTCTCTCGACATCCTCTCTCCAGTCCCATCTTTTCAGGGCTCTGGCTTCAGGCCAGGCTGTGCTGCTGTGTCAGGGTGCTGGCTTAACTCCTGAGACAGGTCAGCTCACACCAGAGCTCAGCTGTGCCCTGCCCTACCCTCCATGCAAACCACACATTTGCAAATACTTCAGAGTGTGAGTGAAAACAAGCCACTGTTCTGCCCTTACCAGAACCAAAGGGAAAGGGAATTTTCCGGTCCCCTAAAAATAAGTGTCTCCTGCCTCTCTTTTTCTCCCAAATTGTGAAGTTACACTCTTCCTTGTTCTACTTTAGCACAAGTCATTTGGGTGGTGGCAGCTCTGGCTGTGATACAGGGAAGGGACTTTCGTGCCAAGGCTCTGGACTCCACGCCCACCCCAGCCAGGCACACACACATGCTCATTCTTGCTTAGGCCCACACCTGCCGCCATGGATAAAGAAACATGGTTCCTCAGAGGCTTCCTCTTAAATGATAAACCCTGTCCTGTAACACAGCTTGCCAGGCAATTTTCTGTGGTTGAAAAAAAAAAATCAAGCTCTATTTTTAAATTTTTTTTAATATAAGAATATGATTTTTGTCCTTTCAGAGCCAAACATTTAATCACAACACAGTGCCCAAACATTAAAAAATTAAAATAAAATAAATCCCTCTTTGCTACCAACTTAAAGGACAGGAGACTGCAGAGCGGTACATTATCCAAACCCAGTTCCCCTGCAGCAGACCTGGCCCCTGTGAGGTGGAGAAACAGAGGAGACAGCAGGCCCTCCCTGCTGGCCCAGCCTTTGTTTTCACTGCCCCATCTCCACGACCACCAAAGCCTCGGTGGAGACACGCTTCAGCCTTCCGCTCTGGGTGCTAGGGTCTCTGCTCCTCCCTGGGGAGGCCCCTATAGCCCCGGCTCACTGTCCCCTGGCCCGGCCTGTCGCCGCTGCCTCACCAGCTGCTGATCCAGCTCTCGGAGCTGCTTCAGGAAGCCCCGGTTGGGCAGGACGCAACGGTTCTTAGCCACTTGTTGGATGGCGCTCACCAAGGTCATGTTCTTGTGGATCATCAGGTAGGCCAGGACCAGAGTTGCTGACCGGCTTCGGCCCATGGCACAGTGAACCAGGATCTTACCTGCGTGGGAGGGGACAAATGTGTCGCATGAGCTAGCAGTTCACCCTTCCCTCCTCCTGCCTCCCCCGAGCAAGCATGCTCGCCGCATGCATTCAGCATGCTCTTGTGCATACGTCTCATAGAATGTTAAGTGCACCCCAGGGATGAAACTGGATAACACTTCATTTTTACTGTCACAATTCATACGTTTTATTATTTTTAATGAATATTTGAAAATTTTCAGTTCTTATTTTCAATGAAGTAAGCTTTGAAAGATATTACCTATACACAGAAAATCTTTGACGTCTTCACAGATTTTTTAACAGTGTAAAAATGCTCTGAAACCTACAACTCTGAGAAGCAACGGGCGTGCAAAATCGTTTCAGGCCAACACCACTCATATCCGCAGGCATGATGTCCCTCAGGCCTCCAATTGGTGGCGCTCTAGAGCCCACCCGAACCTTGTCTTCAGCTTTGACTTAAACTCCATTATCAATTTCCCTGCTTCGCAGGTGGAGAGACAGGTTCAGGAGGTGACGTGTCTTGCCAGAGCTCACCCACAAGGTTGATGCCACAAGAAGCAGCTTAATGTAAAATGCGTTTAGGCCTTCACTGCGCGCCACTGCGCTGAGGTTTGGCTCTCAGTGGCGGCTGTTTCCCACGGTGGTTGGTTTCTTTACTGAGCTTCAGCTGGCTGGGGTATCTGGAGCTGTGTGAACGCGGTGCTGTCAGACTTCCTGCCTCTCAGCCTGATGCCCGGAGAGATAAACAGGAAGTTGCCTGTGGACAGTGTTTGCATGGACGTGGCTTTTTAGCGCTCTCTTCCTCATGGGACCAAGCCCAGTCAGTGGCAAGGGCCAGAAGCTAAGAGAGCCTAAGAAATGAAAGAAGCCCTGCACAGCGGGCACCTCACTTCTCCTATTCTTACTCCACACGGGATGGGTAAACCTGGCCCCATAACAGTCTGCGAGGAGCACAGAGGGGCCTGGCACAGAAGTATCCTCCAACTCAGCACAATTAGTGAGTGCCATTCTCTGTCTACCCAAGCCATCAAGGAGAGCAGGAAGCAGCCCCCTTTGTTGCTGTATCTCTAAGGGGGAACCAGTCCGCACTCTCATCCAGCATGAACATCCACCTCTGGTGTTCTAATCCCAATGGAGTGTTCCAGAGAGATGCCGCCTGGCCTCTGGCCAGCTCTGCTGATAACTGATGTGTTTCTTCCTCTCCTGTCATAACTAAACACTTGTAACAGATGAAAGCTGTAGCCCATTAAGCTTTTTGGGGAGCCTGAAGCCTGTGAAGAGAAGGCAGAGAAAAAAAAAAAAAAAAAGATGGGCTGGGAGTGGGGATGGGAAGGCTTGAGAAAGGGGGCTCTCAGCTCTGGCTGGAGCTCTTGGAGCCAAATGTGGGTTTCATTAATGCTGCCAGCGTGGAAAGAGAGACGGACTTCTCCAGGTTTGTTCTCTGGAGGGCTCAGGTGCCCTTGCCCCCCCCCCCCCGCAGTTTCCTGTCACCAGAACCTCAGAGTCCTGTTCCCTCTTGGCTCTGGGGCTCTGACAAGTCCCACTGTTGAGGCCCAGAGCTGGTGGAAAACCAGGGCAGGCAGGCTGGCTTGTTCCCAGGCCTGACCTGAACTTCAGGAAACCAGGAGGCTATGTGACTGGCTGCTGGTACTGTTTTCTAGTTCAAGTCACAGCTGACTCCTAGGCAACCTGGATTGCCCTGGGCATTCTTCTGGGTCCTCTATGGGTTGTTTGTTTGTTTGTTTGTTTGTGTGCTTTTGAGACAGGGTCCAGCTCCATCATTGAGACATGGTCTTGGGCTCTCCATCTTCCTGCCTCAGCCTCCCTGACGTGCTACAGTCACAGCTGTGCGCCAGGGTGCCTAGCGCTCCTGCACTTCACGTTATCATAGTCAAGTCTCACAAATACCCAGTGGTTCCAGTCAGACTGTCACCGCCATCTATAGCCGAGGTCGCTGAAGGATATGCAGAGGAGTGGCTTGCTCCAGTCCCACAGCCAGCGAATGGTAGGCCACACCCCAAGCCCAGACTGCGTGGCATCGAGGCCCAGGCATTACACTGAACTGCTCCAATGTGTGCACGCCAGATACAAGTTTTACAAATACTATGTACCTTTGTTACGTGCAGTCTGTGCTATTATTTTCTATTCTTTCTAATGCATTCAATTAAAAAAATAAAATCAACAGTGGGCACATCCACCACATTGATTACCCACTGAGAGGTTTCAGCCTGTGTCTGAAAAATGCTGACTTTGATAAAATGTTTGCCAGAAGGAGAAATGCTATAATTGCATAAAGAAACTTTAAGTTCAGAATTTCTTTGTTTGTTTGTTTGGTTGGTTGGTTGGTTGATTTGGTTTGGTTTCTGAGACAGGGTTTCTCTGTGTAGCCTTGGCTGTCCTGGACTAGCTTTGCAGACTAGGCTGGCCTCGAACTCACAGAGATCCACCTGCCTCTGCCTCCCCAAGTGCTGGGATTACAGGTGTGCATCACCACATCCAGCCTAAATTCAGAATTTCTAATGTATCTAGCTGGTCATAGTAGCTCATACCTAAAAGGCTGAGGCATCAGGATTACCACTGATTTGAGGCCAGCTTCCTTTACAGAGTAAAACTTTATCCCAAAATAAACTTAAAAGCAAACAAATAAACAAAACCTCTACTGTATCCAATTGCTTGTTTTCAGTGGTGACCGAAAGGTAAGCTTCTGTCACTCAGATCAGATAGATCAGAGCTAGCGAGATGGTTCCCTGGGTAAAACTGCTTACTGAGCAAGCCGGTGACCTGAATCCTAGCCCCAGAACCCGCTTGGTGGGAGGAGAGAACCAGCTCCTGAAAGTTGTCCTCTGACCTCTCAGGTGTGCAGCCTGTGCACGCACACAGACTCACCACCAGCATCACAATAGGAAAGTGTAGGAAGACACACCTGGCAAGCCTGTGACCCACACGCCTACCTGCACTTCGGACCTAAGCCTACCCTCGACAGCGCTGCCTTCCTTGGTTGAGAGGCTGCCCTTGCCTGCGCCCCACTCACTGTCATAGAAGCTGCCTTTCTTGGCAACGTGTACAGGCAGAAACAGTTCCTGCTTCATCCAAGACAGATGTGGGGGTGCCCAAGTCCTCAGAGAATGAGGACAAGGTGTGAGTCCAACAGACAGAAAGAAAGGGGACAATCTGGCCTGGCTATGGCCTAGATGTATCAGGGAACCAAATTCCTGCCAGAAAGATGATGCATCTATATATTCATACCCAGCTGGTCTGAAGTGTGTGTGCATGTGCGTGTGTGTGCCTGTTGTTCCTCAGGTACTGTTCACCTTATATTTTTGTAACAAGGTCTCTCACTGGCATGGGCCTTGCCAGTAGGCTAGTCTGGCTACAAGCCCCAGGGATCAGCTTGTCTCCAAATCCCTAGCCCTGATGTCACAAGGCATGTCACCACAACTGGTTTTTTGCTTGTTTGTTTTCTCACATGGGTTCGCGCATAAACTGAGATCCTCATGCTTTTACTGCAAGAACTATACCAACAGAGCTATCTTTCCAGCCTGGATTTTATTTTTTTTTAACTGTTTGTTTATCCTGAGACAGGGTCTCACTATGTAGCTCGCAGCCTGGAACGTGCTCTGTAGACCAGGCTGGCCTCAACATCACAGAGATCCGCCTGCCTCTGCCTCCCAAGTGCTGGGATTTCCTTCTCTGTGGTTGTTGATGTGGCTGGAGTGCTGGGGACCAAGGTTAAGGAAGGGCCAGATCCTGAGCAGCACGCGCAGTCCCTAAAGTAGATTTTGTGATGGCTTCAAAAGCTGGGGCCTGTGAGTGACAGGCAAGCGGTGATACGGAGACCTGGTCTTCAGAGCCGATGATGCCTGCCGTTTCCTAGGAGATTTCATTAAACCAGATGCTCCTGAGTTCACCGCCAGCATCCACGCTGGCTCTGTGGCAGCTCTGTGTCAGTTCTCACCCCAGTGAAGAAGGATGAGTTCACTTGTGTCAAATCCTATAGGCTGGCTTTGTCTTTGCTTCCATGATATCCTGAGCTCTCCTCAACGGCACAGTCGCTCACATTAAGGACAAAAGGCTCCCCTGTGAAGCCGGGCTGAGGGAGGAGCTCTTCCCAGGCTAGCGGGTACTGCCCCCGGATGGCTGTGTGACCCTGGGCACACCACCTGGCTTCGAAGGGGTTTTTCCAGCTCCCAGGCAGGAGAGCAGACAGTTACTGCTCCAATCGTTCCACCGTGAACGAGGTTCCCTAGTTCTTTTGAAAAGTCAAACTGGCCTAGAGAGGGAGTAGGCTCGGACCCCCGAGCTGCGGTTTTATCTCCACAGCACTGAAAGTGGTAAATTTTTCACTGGGAGCAGTGGTTTAAGCCTGTAATCCCAGCACTCAAGCTGAGACGGGAGCATCCTGCATTCCAGGATATTATGGGCTACATAACAAGACCCTGAGTCAAACAAACAAAATAACAAATGAAGAGAGAGAGAGAGAATCACACAGCAGATGCAGGCCCCTGGGTTCAATCCCCAGCACTACAAAAAAGTAAGATCAAGTTAAAAAAAAAAAAAAAAAAAAAAAAAGAAGAAGAAGAAGAAGAAGCATGAAGATAGCTGGCAGAGGGGTGGGGCAAAGGTAGTGTCTTTTGGGCTAAGACTTTGCCAACAAAGGGCAAGAAAGGCAAGAGGGAAGCAAGAGAAAGGTCTGCTTTGGGGCCAGACTGTCCTTAACACCTCTTACATCAGGATTCTAAGAAGAAACACGCGACCAGGTGTGGCTGGGAAATGCCACAGTGTCCCTTGGTTTTCTAGGGCATGACTGGACACTGTCAGGCACCTCTGCATGTGGAGGCAGTCCAAACACCTGTCATCCGCTTCTCCTGGGGTCTTGTGGCATTGCTGGGGCCCAGCTAAGGAGCCTTCTCTTTTGCTACGCTGTCCGCTCAGGACACAGATGACAAGCAGACGATCGGTCACTTTTGTTTGCCCTCTGACAGTGCTGAAAATGTGTGTGACAGTAAAATCCAGATTGAAGGTTTTCCCTCAAAACTCGGAGGTTCCACCACACCGGCATCGATTCTCGCAAAAATGCCGGGTGGGCAGAGACAAGCCGCTGCCCCCCTTCAGAGGAGACACAGGCTGTCTTCACCCCTAACCTCACGGGCAGCCGGTGCCATTCTATCACAGGCTGCTGGGTGCCGAAGGGCTCCCTGGCGTGGGGAAGTCTTTAGACATGCAAAGTCCAAAGGTCAAGGAGAATGGAACCCACCCTCGCCCCTCACCCGCACCCCCCTAACCCCACGCTTGTTCACCGCCACCCTTCGCCCACCCCTGTTTCCCGCGCGCCCTCTGGCCTCTGTCTACTCTTTCTTGCTGACCCATCCTTCACCGGCGCTTTCACACGCCCCGTCTCAGGTCTTACTTGCTTGAGGTGATGCCCTGCCCAGCAGGCCTTGAGCATCCGACTCCAGAGCCCGGAGTTGGATGATTTGGCGGTGAGGGCAGCTTCTCAGGCAGTGTGCGGGGATCCTAAACCAGCTTTCACGGGAGTCTGTCATACAAGTTCAAAGCTGGAATGTCTTTTTTCTCTCTCTCTCTTCTTTTAGGATCGGAAGCTTTACCATGATGAGGCGCACATGCCGGAACAGGGAGGGCTCCACAGCGCGCGTGGCCGCAGGCCTCCTGCTCCAGGTTCTATGCCAAATGCTTTATGTATTCCGCTGCTGCTCCTCGTTAGAGCTGCTCAAGGTAAATATTTTCATCACTGGAGGAATCACATCATTACTGAGTTTTGTGATGAGACACTAAATCCGGCCTTGTCTTCTCCAAGGCCTGCCAGGCCCCTTCCATTAGGAGGGAGTTCCAAGACATAAAAATGGCAACTGAGCACATGAAACAGATACTGAGGGGCTGGATCGCTGTACAGCGTCACCCCAATATGTTTGCAGTTAACTTCAAATACAGGGAGGTGAATTTTACCGCATGAGATGAATCACAGTCCGGCTGCTTTTTTTTTTTTTTTTTTTTTGATCCTGTGTGGAAACTCAGAATGGACGGAATACAATAGATGGTTTATAAATAGAATCATAAAAGGATAGGTCAGAAGTGATATGTCCTCTAGTTCAAACGCTTCAGCTCTGTGGGCCTTTTCATTGCATCGTGTCCTCTGAACCAAAAGGATGACAACTTCTGTGGGTGGCTATGGCCGGCTGCGGACCAGGCACCACCACAGCCGTCAAGGTCCACCGGCTCCGACTTGGCGTCTTAGGCCTAGCCCCAGCTTGCAAGTTCCGGAAGCAGGTCAGTCGGTCAGTGAGCCTGTAATCCCGACCTCTTATGGCAGGAAAGGCTTTCGGTAATTGGATACCTCTAGTTGCGTGATGACTCACAAAGGGGCATGACAAGAGGCTGAAGTCAGAGCACAGACCAGGGAGTTTGTGATGGCCCTTTGGCTTCTGTGGAATGTGCTGAAGTCACCCAGCAACAGCCACGGCATATACCCATGGTGCATACCCAAGCTGTGCCCTTCTCTCCAAAATAGCCTTGTAGCCTTTCCTGCGTGCATTAGAGCAGTCAAAACGGCATTTAGTGGGCAAGGGCTAGACTTCGGCTTAAGAGGGATAAGTGACGTTGGGCTACTGGGACACTGTGGGTGCAAAGCCCAAATGTTCTGGTATAGTTTATGTGGGGCCCCAACTTTGAAGAGGTGGGCGTCTTAGGGGCCAGTCTGTGGGCGCGCTTGGTATTCCAAGCAGAAGTATTTCAAGTCTGCACATGGAGTCTCAAGCAAGCCAGGTCCTTCAAAGTTCTCAAGCACAGATGAAGCCTCCGTCTCCAGTTAAGTTTGGGCCCCAGCACGATTAACGTTTGGCTGCAGTTCCCAGCTTTGAGGGCTTCCAGACCACCCTGGCCTCTCTCTCTCTCTCTCTCTCTCTCTCTCTCTCTCTCTCTCTCTCTC